GGAGTGACACCTGTTGTGGTCTTCTGCTGCTTTAGCACATCTAATGTTGAAATATAAATATGTAATGGCCCTGGTGTCACGACTGCTGTGTTTTTCAATATAAAGTTATTTGGGGTTTACACTGTAATGCAGAGGTGCACCAAAAGGACACTTTAACAGAGTGAAATCCTTATTAATATGAAATATTATCACTTGTGCATTTCTTACTCTGACATGCTCATGTCTCTGCCAAGGAAAAGCGAAATTTTAGAACACAAGGATTAAAATATATTTCAACAGCTGGCCGCTTTTGCTTTAATAAAATTATTTTCTTTATTAAAAACTAAGTAATTGTCTGCACAGCTTTATTTATTTATTTTACTGGTGTCAAATGATCAGTGTGGCAGTGCTACTGATTTCAATGTCCACTAAGCTTCATTGCTTCTTTAATTTGGGCTTGAAGCGCAGTGTCTGGAATGCGCTCTCCACCACTTTGGGCAGGTGGATCGGGTTTCTCTGAAGTCGCAGCCTGCTGCTCGTGGACCCGCTCTGTTTCTTCTTCGTGGGGATCCTTTCATTGGCACAGTCAGGAACTGCTCTCTGGTCCGAAGCATCTGAGACTCGAGGAACTCGCAAGACCCAGTTAGAGTGGAGGTCATGTTCGGCCGAGCTGGAGGCCACTGTGGGAGGAAATGACAAGAACCCGAGGAAACATTTAGTATCTGTGCAAGTGGCAGCCATAATTAAAGCTAGTTGAAAGAAAAGAAGCTTTGCTGTTAGCATTGATGCGCTGTCTGAAAGGAGCTTTCAAAGCCTAATGTAAAATAATCATTATTTTCATTATTTCATACTTTCCCTGTAAGGTTGAGTGGGCAATGGGGTGAGCTCAAGCTGGAATTCTCAGTGCTTCAACTTCTTTGTTTTACTGTTTTCTTGACTTGTACTCATGGCTTTTATTAATGAGAATATTTTCACTGGGTTGTAGGTGTTTAAAGAGCTGCTTTTAGCTGCTCCCTTCTTCACAAGGACCTGCCACAATAGGTAGCTCTGCATATTTGATTCGGCAGATCTGTACTCCAGATGCCATTCATGACACAACCACACAGGGGTGTCTCCTGGGAATGAGCTGGGGATTTTTCCCTTGTTAAATAAATGTGTAAACCAATACTCTCTGGAGCTACTGGGTCACCCATGTTTATCAGGTTTAAACAGCCTCCGTGAAGGGATTCACGAAAGCCTGATATTTGATATATTTATTTAGTAAACCTCCCCAGGATGAATGAATCTAATCCTTAGCAGCAGCTGAACTGAAATTATGGATCTGGCCTCAAATGGTCAGTGTATATTTATATCTCCCAAATTATGTCTACCGGTCTAATTAACATAGTTTAATAACAATTGCTTCATTTAATTCACTGTGACACCACTGCTCTTGTGTTTAAACTCATCAGATAAAGATAAACAAAGATAAATGTTTAGAAGTATTTTTCTTTACTGCTACAAGCAATAAGCTTAATACTGATACCAATACACACCTTGAGCCTAACATATATCCTTGGATAATGTTATCTGTGCTACATGGATAAGATTACCAGTAACAAACACAGACAAATGAGGTGTTAAATGTACGACATTTACACATGAAGATGAAGTTGCAAGGATTTATACAACGTGACTGAGCTTTTGTTACGAGTTAGTCTGATAAAGCTGAAATTTGTCCCAAATCGACAGGTATAACAAAACCGCAAGGAAACTACGAACACACACAAAAACATCTCAGTGTGTGTGCACTCATTGGCAGGGGTGTTTCCATGAATTTTAAGTGAGGTGGCTTCATAATAATAAAGCAGCTGGACTGAAGCACAAAAACACAGCGAGGGAACAGATAATAAAATATATTAGCTGTGCAACAGCAGAGTGGTAAGAGGTAAATAGTATTGTCTCAAGTATTCTCTTTTAACTCCTTCAAACTTTACAAATGTTTTTACAGATGGGGAGAATCAAATTGAAATAAGTGCTGACGGTAAACAATGTATACTACATGTAAGCCAGAGATGGGCCTTTTTTTAGTGCCATCAGTCTTTAATTTGAAAATAAGAGATCGGTGAGGCCTTGGTGGAGGAGTGAACCTAATAGTTTATCATGTTTTGTATCTAAATCTGCAAAATACATGATGTCGACTGTTGAATTAACCTTGTGTAGTTGAGGAGGGATAGTGGATGTTGAATATGGAGCTGCCAGGCAGGAAGAAACCAGGAAAAACCCAGAGAGATTCATGGATGTAGTGAAGGAAGACATGCAGAGGGTTGGTGTGACAGAGGAGGATGTTAGGGAAATAGGGAAGATGGAGGCAGATGATCTGCTGTGGTGAAGCCACAACAAGAAGACGTTGGGGTAGCCTACTTAAAGATCAAGCACCTTTGACCATGTGGTGCGTGCATTCAAAAATGGCATAAAAGCCCTTTTTACATGTTTAACTTAGTCAGCTACATCACTGGCTTATGAATGCATGAATGTAAGCAGGGCAGTTTGCTGTGAAATAGAAAGCCTATATCATGTTTAGCAAATCACAGTAAATATTCTGATTTTGACCAAACCAATTTAATCATTGCTTTTGCAGTTTAAGTCTCACATCACATCCAAAACAGAATATCCAAACAAGCTGTTGGTGGCTTTATCACGTAGGTGACTTCACTGCTCGTAGGTTGCCAGGTTGTCTTGTAGGTTGAATGATCCTCTCTCACTTCCAGGATTACTCAAATTAAATGCTGGAATTTCAAACTCACCAATAAAATCCACGTCTGCGTGCCCGTCATCCTTGTACGGCTTGCGCAGAGGTTCGCTGTCACAGCTGGCAATGACCGCATCAAAGAACTGCAAAGTGTCGTCCTCAGTTGGAACTGGGGGTGCTGAGGGTTTGGCTCTTGATATCTGTGGTGTAAAATGATAGAAGAAAAAAGAAAACATCTTTGATATTTCCTTCCATGTGATATTGGCTGCTTGGTTTAAGCTTACCGGTCCCTCCTTTTTAGGCGGCGAGGGCGCAGGCTTCTTCTTGGAAGAAACTGTGGCCTTTGCGTCTGTACCCTTCAAGTCGCTCACACTCTTCATGTACTGCCTCCTCAGAGCCACAAGCGCTTCCAGGTATTCAAGGCAGTTCTGATTCTGTGAGTACAGCCATATCCTGTCCTCTTGTCTCTGATAATAGTACAAGGTCGACTCGATGCTCACTGTGCTTTTGCTCCGTTTTAAAGTCAAGCCCGCAGCTGTCTGAGTTTTCTCCCCTACAACGAGCATGGAGGTGCTGCGCACCAGCCTGACAGTGCAAGCGTTGTGGTAGTCCTGCTCATCCCGACACCCACTACCATCACCACCATTCCGTCCTCTCTGTCCATGATGGTTGGGACGGAACACATTATTGATCTTTCTGAACATTCCTCTAAGGACAGTATGTCATGTTGACAGACTCGCTCTCCAGTTCCCCTTTGCACACCATTTATCCATATACAAAAAAAGTACAAACAAACAAAAAACAGTTGTTGTCCTTTATGGGAGTCCTTATGACATCTTTGCTGGAGCTGTTCAACGGGACCAGAAGCTGTCCAGGGTGCTGAAATCGCCAAACCGCTACCTTGTTGTGCTACAAGAGCAGACGTGAGACAGGTGTCTAACCTGATCTCAGCATGTCTTTAATGTTATCGGATGTTGCTCAGCAACATTGCTGTAGCAACGGGTTGGTAACTCTACACTTTGCGCTCCCATTACTGAGCAGCAGACCTGTGTCAGATATCTTAACCCACAGGAGATTAAGTGGACAAAATAACTACAGCCACCAATGAAACTCTGGACCTTTTAGTGACTATAGCTGTGAAGCCACCTGTTTACACATCTGATACTAGAGAAAACGAAAGATAATCAGAAGCAGAAAGCTGCAGCTACACATGGGTTTACTCGTTTTGACTTCGGTGGTATTTTGTGCTTTCAAGACTTATAATTCAGCTGTATGAACAACCTAACAGCCTCATGAGTTTATGCTGTTATATATTAGGTTTCCTTTCCTGATTAATAATAAATAACTTTCTCTCATGTTTCATGCACTGCTATTGTTGGAGTTCCCTATCACAAGCAGAGGAAGTCTGGACAGAAAGGAGTCCTTCAAGCCGACAAGGGGCTTTCATCTCGAAAAAATCCAGGCCATAAATAACACCTGAAACCTCTCAACACTTTCGCCACATATCTGATTTAGACTTAGGTTTGCTTCAGTGTATAGCTGCACTACAGCGAAGCTCGAGGCAAGTGAGGAAAAAGAAACTATTTCACGACCATCAAAGCCTCTGGGCTCAAGTGACTTTGACAGTTCAGTGCCTGAAGAATAGGCAAAGCATCAAGGAGGAAATGATTATTTGTGGTCACATAACTGAGTGTGAAGTTACCACTTCTGCTTTGCTGTGAACTCAGAGGATGGGAAAAAAACAGTTTAAGCTAAAAAACAATCAACAATTAATAAAGACACGCTGTGAAAATTTTGAGGTACTTCAAACATTTGTGGTGTGATCTGCCATAAAACGAAAACAGGAATCAGTTATCTGGGACTTTCTGTTTCCTTGTATTTTTATCATATTAAACACAACTTTCTTTTCTGCTTTTATGCAAAGCTCAATTGCACACCTGCTTTGCGAGGAAATGAAACATCAATGGTTTCTTTTTACAGCGCACATCTCGCCTTGCTGTCATCCAGCATCCACCATTTTACCTCATAGTGCAAGAAGGAAATCTGATGTGGAGGTAGGCACGTCTTATTTAAGTTTGCCAGGTATAAAAGTTTTAAATAATCAGCAAAAATACCAGCTAAATCCCATGAAAACAACATATTAGTTGTAAAGATTACAAGCTGAAATGCATTAATGTTGAGAGCAGAAGTTTGGAGTATTGGGATCAAGGTGAAAAGGGATAGTCCCACTTCCTTTTTGGATTGTATAAAACAACAGCCAGGTTCAGACTCCAAAACAGACTTTTGAGAAAACCGCTTTAGGACGTTTAGTGCCAAAATACAGGCTTTAAGCTTTTCTGTGACTCAGATCTGAGGTAGGAAGATCATTCTTTTTCATAGATGAACAATCTTTGGAAGTGTTAAACCAACATATTCTTCTGTTACATGTAACTTCTTAGCCACTCCAATTAAATTTTGAAATAGTCTGCAAAGACTTTTCAATAGGGATCAATTGTGCAGCAGAAATAGTTTGGTGCTTCTTATAATGCTTATGCATTAGCTTTTCTCTCACTGTTGCTTTTGTCCCGTTTTGGTGCCTTTATTCAAATGCATACTGTTCGTAT